GAGCTCACCGACCCTGCGTCGGAGGACTCCATCCTCCTGCGCATACTTCAGCTGCTCGTCGCCGTTGTCCGCTCAAAAACCTCTGCCCTCTTAACGGATCATGCCATCTGCACCATTGTCAGCTCCTGCTTCCAAATCGTTCAGCAGTCTGCCACGCGGGGTGATCTCTTACAGCATAGCGCTCATCAATCAATGCTCGATCTTATCGAGGCCGTTTATTCCCGTCTCCCCGATATGCGATTCTCAGACGGCGGCTCCACGGAATCCAGCGCTGAGGCAGAGGAAAAGTCCCTCCATTTCAGCTACACCGCACAATGTATGATTGATATATTCTATTTCCTGTGCTCGCTTCTGAACGTAGAAGAGCCCGCCGAAGCTGAAGCTGGCGACGTCAGCTCCAACGAGGAGGATCAACTCTTCGCCCTCTTGCTCATTAATTCCGTTGTTGAGCTCGGCCGGGACAGTATCAGCCATCATCCGGCTCTTCTCCACATAATTCAAGATGATCTCTTTCACCATCTTATCCATTATGGTACCCGATGCGGCCTCCGCATCTTCTCCATGATCTGTAATATTGCCTTCAACCTCTATCATTTTTTTCGGAGGTAATTTTGGAGTTGGAATTATAAATAGTTTAAATTTATTATAAAAATCCATTTTTCCCCCTTTTTAATCTCCAAGATATCATCTTTCAAGGTTTTTGAGGTTGCAATTAGAGGCATTTTTCAAGTTTGTGCTGATAAAGATCGCCAAGGGGAGTTATGGATCTCAGCTCCAAGAAGCGGCGGGGGTGGTAAGTTTCTGCAGGCAGCCCAATTTCATCATTGAAATATATGTGAATTATGACTGCGATCCTATCCGGCACAATGTGTTGGAGGAAATTGTAAGGATTCTCTGTAAGACGGCAGACTCCATGAGCAATCCAATCTCCTCGATGCAGTTCCAGGCCTTCGAAGGCTTACTCGTCATAATTCACGACATCGCCAACGGCATAGAAATCTGTGAAGCGCTGAGTCTAGATGCTTACAAGATCGATGACTCGGAGTTCAAGTCTTTTTGGCTGGAGCACTGTGACGCGCACAAGGATCCCGAGTCTTGGGTAGAATTTGTAAGGATGAGAAAGATGAAGAAGAAGAAGATGATGATTGCCGCCAACCATTACAACAGGAACGAGAAAAAAGGAATGGATTTTCTGAGCATCAGTCGGTTGGTGCCGAGCCCGCCGGACCCTAAAAGCATAGCTTACTTCTTTCGCTACACGCCGAGGCTCGACAAGAACAAGATTGGCGATTACTTGGGCATTCCCGACGGCTTCAATGTCAAGGTTCTGAAGGAGTTCACGCAGACATTTGAATTCGAAGGAGTGATTCTTGACACCGCCCTCCGAACCTTTCTCGAGACTTTTCGGCTTCCCGGTGAATCCCAAAAGATCCAACGAATTCTCGAGACCTTCTCAGAAAGGTACTATGAGCAGCAGCAACAAAAATGTGAGATTTTTACAAGCAAAGATGTCGTCTTTATTCTCTGTTACTCCCTCATCATGCTCAACACAGACCAGCATAATCCACAGGTGAAGAAGAAGATGACAGAAGAAGAATTTATAAAGAACAATCGGGCCATCAATGGAGGAATGGATCTTCCCCGAGAGTATCTCTCGGAACTATTCCACTCCATCTCCACAAATGCAATCACCCTCCATGATTCCTCCAGCGCCGTCATCTCTGAGCTGAACTCCAATTTTTGGGCCAACCTCATAAAGCAGTCAACTTTAGCGGAGCCCTTTATACCCTGCGAAAAAAATCACATGCTATGTCGGGAGGTCTTCATCACCATCTCCGGCATTTCGGTTGCCACCCTCTTTATAATCTTCGAGCAAACCGAAGATGAAAACATGCTTCAAGAGTGCATCGAAGGGCTCTTCTCGATCGCTCGGATCGCCAGATATGGTTTGGAGGACATCCTGGACGAGCTACTATCTTGTTTCTGTAAATTGACGACCCTACTCAACCCCTACGCCGCCGCAGAGGAGATTATCTTCAGCTTCTCCAACGAGGCGAAGCCAAAAATGGCAACACTGGCGGTTTTCACAATCGCTAATAAGTTCGGCGGGTCGATTCGGGGTGCTTGGAGAAGCATGATAGATTGTCTGCTTAAGCTTAAGAGGCTAAAGCTGTTGCCGCCTACACTTATTGAGACCAGCGGCTGTGCAACTGAGGCCAACATAGATGATGGCGGAAGCCGTCATTCAAAATCAGAGTCTGGGTTCGGTGTCATCTTCCCATCATGTTCCCCTGCCAATGACAGACCGAACGTGTCCGGGCTGGTTGGGAGATTTACACAGCTCCTCTCCCTCGAAACTGGTGCCGATTCCATGCTGAATGCTACGAGCGAGATGGAAAACAATCTGAAGCTAATACAACAATGCCGAATTGATAGCATATTTATGGAAACTGCCCGGTTGCCACAAGAATCATTACAGAACCTTATAAGGGCCATACTCTTTGCTGCGGCTGGCAAGGGGCAAAAGTTCAGCACGGCATTGGAGGAAGAGGAAACGGTTGGATTCTGCTGGGACCTCATTTTTATCATCATAAAAACCAATCGCCATCGCTTTGCTACCTTTTGGATGCAGTTCCACGAGAGCCTTGCGCTAGCGTCGCAACTTCCTCTGCTCTCGCCATGCCCGTTTGCAGAGAAGGCGATGGTTGCTCTGCTCCGGGTAGCAATTCTATTGTTTTCAGAGCCGCCGAGGCTACAAGACAGACAGCTCGAGGAAATGCTTTTCAAGTCCATTAATTTGATTTGGAAGCTAGACAAGGATATTGTAGACGCATGCAATGAGAGCGTGGCCGAGGCGACGGTAAAAATCTTGAGCCTGTATGCAAGGAGCGTGCAGACGGTGCTTGGGTGGAAGACGCTGCTCCACCTATTATCAGTGACGGGGCGACACCCGGAGAACTTTGATCGGGCGGTAGAAACCCTAGTAATCCTCATGACAGAGACTGGCCTTGTCACCAGAAACAACTACGCTTTCTGCATTGAGGCGGCTTTTGGATTTGCGGCACTCAAGATCAGCCCGGTTGAGAAGAGCTCCCAGATTCTGCAACTCATGGCCGATTCCGTGAAGTGGATCATCCAATGGCAAAAGTCCAGTTTTAACGACTCAGGCAGCTCCAATACGTACAGTAATAGCTCATCAACAGAGGAAAACCTTAGGGCAGCGACGAACCTATTCATGAAATTGGTGGAGGCATTGCGGAAGACGAGTTTGGTGAGAAGAGAGGAGATAAGGAATCAGGCGGTGATGGCGTTAGGGCGATGTTTCCTAGATGTGGCGGACGAGCTGGAGTGGACGACAGGGAGCCATGCGTCAAGCTTCAACCTTGTGATTTTCGCGATGGTGGACGATCTGCACGAGAAGATGGTGGAGTATTCGCGACGAGAGGGGATGGAACGAGAGACGAGGAGCATGGAGGGGACGTTGAAAATGGCGTTGGAGCAATTGGTGGAGGTTTACCTCTGTTTTATGCTACGGCTGGCGGCTGACCCGGGGGGGTTCAGAATCTTCTGGCTTGGATTGCTGCGGAGGATGGACACGTGTATAAAGGCGAGCCTTGGGGAGGAGGGGATGCCGTCGCCGGTGATGCAGGAGCTGGTGCCGGAGCTGCTGAGAAGGATGATATTACAGATGAAGGAGAAGGAGGTTCTGGTGCAGGGCGACGGGAGTGATCTCTGGGAAGTCACTAACATACAGATCCAGTGGATAGCCCCATCTATCAAGGAAGAACTGTTCCCGGAAGACAAATCGCTTAACGGTAGTTTAATTGGTACGATTAATGCTAATTTTTAAGAAAATTATAATTTACATGAATAAAATTTATTGTATTCAATCGAGGCAATGTCTATTAGAATAATTTTTTTAATGCATGAATCATTTTCATAATTATAAAATTTATGAAGCAATTAATTATAAAAAAAAACTACCTTTATCATATTGAAATTCATTATGAATATTAAAATAATTTATAGTGAGGTGTAAGACACACTTGTATGTGAAGGTATATTGACAATCTACTAAATATCTAAAGAATATATCATAGGTCCATAAAAAGTTTAGTTGAGAATCATCCCTTGCTTCATGTTTTGTTTAGATCGTTGTCTGAAGATTGTCCACCGCTCGATGGTGTCGTCGCTTCGTTCCGTGAAAAGAGGGGGGATAAGAGAAACCATGTCTCAAATAGCCTATCATAGGTTCTTTGTTGTACTGTTTTGATTTTATTTTAATGATTTTTTTTTTATGAGGTTTTAATGATATTTAACGTTTTGCCAAGTCACTGTGTTAGACGTATGTCATAAGATTTCCGCCTAAACATGTGTCCTACGTTTTTTATCCTAAGGCCTTTATTAGAAAAAAATTATACATTTAAAGTTTTACACCCTAAACATATGTCATATGTTCACTACCCTAGAGTTTTTTTTCTACATGTCAATAATGCAGGTAAGAAATAGAATAATTACATGCATAAACAAATCATACACAATAAAGTGCAGTAAAAGGGAAACTGAAATAAAAAAAGAAAGCGGTGGTATGTATTTAACGTCTGTAGAGATATTTCAGAAAAAATTCAGTTATATATTACATGCACATATATACATGGGAATTAAGCAAAAAATTGAATGTTTTAAGATTTAAACATGAAATATATTAAAACAGGTGATAGATATATGAAATATCTAAATTGGGTATACGTATTTTGAATTAGGTACGGGCTTAGCCTCAGGACCTTTGGCCCTGATAATTCTTGACCTTTGGCCTTGATAATTCTTCCTCAGAGATTTTGTAGATAACCATCGACATATGTGTGTGTAAAGCCAAGTTTGAGTTGAATATACTAGCAAGACAATCAAAGGAGAGGCGACTCTTATCCCAGTCAAGGTGACTAACAAGTAAACATACAAAAGGGAACACTCAAAAGCCTCAATTTGTCATGCATATAACTAAATTAAGATTTTTCCTTTTTTTGCCAAAACCATTAGCAACCAAAAAAAGATTATTAGCACTACAAAAGAAATCTTGTTTTAATTTTATTTATATATTTTATTAATCAAGCAGTCCACAAGTTATTCAAATTGCAGGGCTAGAGCCACCAGCAGCCTAAGAAAGCAAGGGCAACTACTCACTAAATGTTAGCGAATAGTAGTATCAATCCTGCACCCTCACGAATTCATTGGATCAGGAAATATGGTACTATTCTACTATCCTGAATTTAACATTAGATGTCTTTTACATCGTCGCACATTTTACTGACCCTTCTAACTTGTAAACCAGCTCAATGATCCACATAATATCGCCTTATTTTGAATGTTTCCAATTTAATCTAAACACTTTCACAACTAATATTACTTAATTCCTATGCATTTATATAGTTTTTTTTTCACATTTGTTTCACCCAAATCTTTCTTTCAGAACAAAAATAACACCATAATAACTTTCAAAACAAAAACACTCATTATCATGCATATGTAAGATGACACATGTAAATATTGAAGTTCAAGTGTTAAATATATAAATACATAAGAATGGAGTGATATGCAGGTATGTCATGTGATTACAATAGAGTTGTGTTTTGTGTTTTCATTCTACTTTTTTATTTCATATGATTTAGATGCCCTCTCCTAAATAAGTTGTCGTTGACCAACAATTAGATAGCTAGAGTGGAATTTTTCTCAACTTGGAGTTATGAGGAGTTAAAAGTTAACATTTGAGCTTGAACTCTGCTATTCTTACTATACTAATTTAGATTGTGGATCATTGTTGTGTTGTTAACACTTTTCTGGATGGTTTGGTGGTCGAGACTTTTCAGCTCAAATTTCACTATAATTTTGTTACTTGTTTTAATTATCCTCTCCTTTGAGAATTGCTGATTGTTGTGAGATATGTACTTCCAAGCATAGAAATAACACAAGCAAATACAAATCGTTTACATGGTTCGATCCAACCGGATCTACGTCCACGGGAGGGAATCAATCAAATAGTTTACTAAGGCAAAAGAAATAGAGAATACATAGCTTATACATAGAGATGAGCCCTCGTCTTCTTTTTATGGCCTCCCTCTCAAGCGACACCTTGATACAAGGTCTCAAGATGCTCTCCTCCTCTCTAGCTCTCTAGTTATTCTCTCCTCCTTTGTGGTAGCTTAAGATCTCTTACCTTGCTCTCCTAAGCCTCACACCCTCTCTATTTATAGAAGCAAGAGAGTGATAGGTGGGAGGTAGGTGAGGGCAGGTGAGCGGTACCACATTACAAAAGTGTATTTTTACCTTAGTTCAATAATTGGGGGTCAAAATAACAATTTTCCACATTGACCCTCAATTGAGAAACTTCGAAGTAAAGATTCCCTCCACCTGACCCTTGAGGGGCCCTCAGCCCTTACTTGAGTTTGCTAAGTCCAAACAGTACATAGACTTAGCAATCACGGTTCTTCAGATAAGAGAGTACAATCTCTTTTTCCTGACTCATTGTATGACGACACGAGGGCCTTTGGTTACTCTAATGCAGTCAGATTTCTTTTGAGCTCCGATACGTACCTGACATTTTTCAGTACTCGTTCAACTCTATCAAACATCCTTATCCTGATTGATCCACTTTCAACAACCTTATGAGCTTTATTGTCTCCCAGTAGAACGGGAATTCACTCCTTGTTTGATTCAGACTCTGTAATTACCAAATCATCAGCTGAATCGTAGTCATCAGAGGCTACACTTGCTTCTTCAAAATCTTTAGGCTTTTCTTGAAATTTTTTCTTCCTATCTGGACAATTCTTCTTAAAACGATTTTCCTTGTGGAAATGGTAACACTTATAAGGTCCCTTTGATGATTGATTTCCGCCCTTCTTTCTTGATCTTGATCTGTTCTAACCATTTCTTGAATCTTTCTTATCCGATCTTCATCTAACGGTAAGACAGTCTCCGCTAATTTCCTCGTTCATGTCATGTTTTTTTTTTTTTAATTCTTTGGCTCTAATCAGCGATTGTACCTCTTCTAGTGAAATTGTTTGCCCACTTTCATAGATTGTTGCATCTTTGAAGTGCTCGTAGCTTTTAAGAATAGAGTTTAGCAATAGCAGTGTCTTGTCCTCATCATCCATCTTGACGTCGATGTTCTCGATGTCGTCGATGATCTTGTTGAACTCGTCGATCTGCTCTGAGACGAATTTGTATTCATGCATTTTGAAGGAGTATAGGCATTGCTTCAGAAAAAGCCTATTAGCCAGAGACTTTGTCAGGTAGAGTACCTCGAGTTTGGCCCAAAGTGCTTGAGCTGTTGTCTCCCTCGACACCCTCACCCTCAGAACTTTGTCGCCCAAGCTCAGGATTATCAAATTATGGGTCTTGTCCATTATGTCGATCTTCTCCTTCTCGATCATGCCGACCGGCAATGTCGTCGACCCTTGCAAGGCTTATGCAATACCCTGCTGAATCAATAGAGCTCTCATCTTTACTCTCCATAGGTCGAAGTCGTTCTTCCCGTTGAATTTCTCAATGTCAAATTTGGCGGAACTCATTGTTGTGGCTAGGATTTCTTCCAATGAATTCTACCTGTTGCCCTTCCAAGAACTAGGCTTCTCCCCGTGAACTCCACTGCCTTCACCAACCGAACGGAAAGCTCTGATCCCTTATGGCAGAGATCACACATGTTCATCGGAGAAAACTTCCTGTTATGTGCCCGCGCCTCCTTCCCGCAGACACTCCTCTGCGTCTAGCGGAACAAATCAGGAATTCCTCCCTAGCCTCTCACACGAGAATAACTGCCTCTCCAGACCGGAGAAAACTTCATGTTCTGTGCTCGCGCCTCCTTCCCGCAAGCACTCCTCTGCGTCTAGTGGAACAAATCAGGAATTCCTCCTCTGCCTCTCGCACGAGAATAACTGCCTCTCCAGAGTCATCGTTCCTCACCAAACTGCTCAGGTCCTCCTGCTTCACGAACTCCAGAACAGGCAACTCCCTGAATCCTTCTTTGTGCGATCTCTGCCTCTTCCCTCTGACCGAGCTGCTCGCAAGACCGAACTTCTGCTCTGAAATCCTCTGCTGGCAGCCCTGTCGCAAATTTTCAGCCCTCACTCGCAGACTGTTCCTCCTCTGTCTCACTGAACCGCACAACCTGCGGTGCAAATCCAGTCAATCAAAGCTTCCACTGCTCACCGAATCTGTAGCAATTCGGCTGCCTGCGGCGCGATCCGCTTGCTCCCCTGTTCGTGAATGCCGAACTCTTATTCTTCGTTGTTGGTCTCGAACACCTTTATGCGGATACCTCTAGCCAAGAAGTATGGATCTTCCCACAGACGGCAACAATTGTTATGAGATATGTACTTTCTGACATAAAAATGAGACGCAAAAAACACATGCAAACACAGATCGTTTGCGTGGTTCGATCCAACCGGATCTACGTCCACGGGAGGGAATTAATCAAATAGTTCACTAAGGCAAAAGAAATGGAGAATACATAGCTTATACATAGAGATGAGTCCTCATCTTCCTTCTATGACCTCCCTCTCAGGCGACACATTGATACAAGGTCTTAAGATGCTCTCCTCCTCTGTAGCTCTCTAGCTATTCTCTCCTCCTTTGTGGTAGTTTAAGATCTCTTCCCTTGCTCTCCTAAGTCTCACACTCTCTCTATTTATAGAAGCAAGAGAGCGGTAGGTGGGCGGTAGGTGGGATGTGGTAGATGAGCGGTACCACATTACAAAAATGTCATTTTACCTTAGTTTAATAATTGGGGGTCAAAACAACACTGATGATAAGCAAGTGGGAGTTGGAGTGTATTTTTAATGTGATGTTTGCTATTTTGTGGGATTCTTTATGCCATAATTTTGATTATTCTATATTGAA